GTAAAGTAAAAACCTTTCCTTTTACTAATAACATGAAGAGAAGTTCTGTGCTCTTGGAAAGTGTGCATTTAGTACACATTAATCTTTATGCAATTTCTGAAAAGTTAACTCTTATAAAACCAGTGTGCCAGATCTTTCACATATTAGCTACTAATTAAAAATTTGCCAAACTTTACACTGTAAAATTAGTAGTAATACATTAAAGCCAAAAAATTCTCTGAACCATTGTTCAAAATTTATGTATGGAGCAAATGTTAAATGGTTTTCTAAATGTTCATTCAGTTGGTCTAAGGAGAAGACTGGAAAAGATCAACATTCAAGGAGATTGTTAAAATTTTCTCTTGCTCTTCACTGGGATTCGTGGACTGCCCTGAAGATTTTCTTTGTTTCGAATAATGATGACAGAGTTTAGAGATTTTGAGGCTTTTCAGATTATTGCTTTAATCAAGATATTCTAAAACAGGTCTGTGTGCATTTTGCTTTTTTAAGGAATAGCAACATGTAGCAGTGGAGCTTTTTTTCCTCTTTAAGTAAAATAACTGTCGTGGAGTTTAAAATGAATTTATAAACTATGAGTTTGGAACTTTTACAATTTTAACCAAAGAATATATCGCTTTGATGGACTAGACAGTCCTTAAAAGAAGTTGGTGGTCCCACATGGGGTATATAACTGTGACAGCATCATAGATTATAGTTATCAGAAAATGAATATCACATGATTATAAATGTAAGCATCGATAGTAAGTTATTTAACAAAGAAAACAGCATCAGCAACAACAATGCAGAAGTAAAAGTGATTGTTAACCCTTCAGATTAAGAGCTATATACTGGAAGAAGACTTCTGGGGTTCTTCTTGCCTTATATATGAACTTTGTAGCATAAAATTGAGGTCTAGGGAATCTGAACCTTACCTCTACATTGTTCTCCAAGTCAGAATACCTACCCAGAGAGTGACTGATTTAGATGTTTTCTCTGCCTCTCATATGTGTATGCAATCAGAAACCATGACAACCTCAAAATCTCTCATATCTAGGGTGGAGGTCGAAGGGAAGATTTGTCTGATGTCTATATTTTTCTGAAAAGAAAACCTTTATATTATTATTTAGGAGCAGGTAAAATAGTATGAGTATTGTACCTTAAGTATATTGTGAGTTAATTGTTGTGTGATTGGATCCAGGAACCTATCGTGTAATAACATTATTTCTTTCTACCAAATTTCAAGCAACTAGTTTTCAAATAAACTTTTGGATCTTGACTCTGAAGCTGGCGTTCATCAGCAGGGAGGCTTAGTTTTTGGCACTTTGCTCACTCACTTGTGTTGCAAAGTTTGGCAACTCTCTTAGCAGTTTCTCTGATAGAAAAATGAAGAGACTGCTAACTGAGCACTTACTGTTTGCCAAGTAGACCCAGTAGAACCTACTTATAAAAGTTTGTAAAATCCTTTAATAGATAAGATTTTCATACAAAAATTTTGTTGGTATCGATGCCTAAGTTTAAGATTTCTTGCTCTTCACAATGTGAATTAAATGTAGCTTCGATAATAGCTCTCAAGTAGAATATGTTGAAATAAAAATATTGATAACATCGCAGTGTTGAATGAGCTACGTAATATTGTATTATGGAATGCAGTGATCCCCTTTTTTATTTGCTAAGAAATGGGAAGAACTGCTGTGAAACTCTAATTCGTGGGTCTTTGGTCTTTCTGAGTTCGCATCCTAAAGTTTTAAATTTATTTTAAGAACACAGCTTTGTAATTCTGGATCTGTCCTCAGTGATTGACACCTTTGATAAATATTAGAAAAAGGTCTCTCTCGATTGTACATTTAAAATAATTTCTTTGTTAACACTGTCTGAGGCAGGGTACCATCTCAGAGGGGTTGTGGGCTCCTTCATGAGATTTCCAATTAGGAGCCCTTGGGTGTTCTAATACTCATAAATTCTGATCCTCGTGGTTGCACCCAGCTGCCTTGATCTACTCTAGCCACTCAGTGGCTGTTTTTACAAGATAAAATGTGCTGCTTTCAGCTCACTCTCTTTTACTGGGCGTACAAACAATGCGTGTGCCATCTGGTGGGTGTCCTGGCTATGGTGATGGTGCTAAAAGTAGTGGTTGAAAATAGGCTAAACATGAAAAGATATACCATTTATGAGACGGAAAAAATAAGAGTCACTCAACCCTTTCTCTTTTTAAAAAGGAAAAGGAGAGGAGTGTCATAAAAAGAATCTACTTAGACTCCATCACTTCCTGAGTTTGAACAAAGAGGAAAGGGGAACCTGAAGCAGTCTGTCCCAGTCTTGCCTGATCATAAGAATCATCTGAGGCACTTGTTCAAAACACACATTCCCACCTGGCTTCTAATTCTGTAGGTGTCTAGTGGAACCCAGGAAGGTGTGTTTTGAATAAGAGGCACACTCCCCTCTCCTCCTCTCGCCTCCTCGGCCTTTTATAACCAGGCACATTGGGGAAGAAATGATTTGAAGGGTTGGGGAAAGCAAGCTGTTCGAGGCCAAAAGGTGAAGTTATTCCATTATTAATCAGAAGATATATTGTCCTAAAATGGGGAATTCTAAGTAAGCAGGTGGAAGAGAAATGAGAAAATTAAGAATTAAAAGGTTTCCTTGACTGAAGTAACAGAAAAAGGACAAAATGATGTGTTTTAACTAAAGGTAAAGAAGCCAGTGAAAAAAACAGCAGGATCGAATCTGTAGATTAGACAAATGTTTTTGGATGGACATTTAAAAAATACTGAAAGGGAAAGGTCCTACCAAAGAAACCTAGTGAGAATGGATTAAATGATTTCTAAGATCGTTTAGCTTTGAGATTTGAACTAAATAAAAATGATTATAATAGTCCACATACCAGAGCTTGAATTAAGGGGTTCATTTAAGAAATGAAGAGGAACTGTTTAAATCCTGGCATGCGGGAAGATAGAGAAAGAATTTTTTTCTTCTTCTTCTTTCAAATTGAAGAATCCAGGGCATTTATGGTTCTGGTTGCCAGATAAAGAAGGAGCTTGCTAATGTTTTAAAAGATGTCCTCCAAGTAAAAAATGCTTATCAAAGCCCAGAGAACAGATTTAATCCTCTCGGAAAGTATGTAGGAAAGATTGACATAAAAGATTTATCGACCCATTTAGGAGTATGCCCTTAGGGCTATCATGCTATTTCTTGTTATGGCCATTCCAAGGATCCTTTCTTTGATTCATGGGAAGATTCTGGTTAGGTGGTCTACTTGTGGGAATCTTAGAAGTCCTGTATTGTGACAGCTGTAAAAACAGCCAGGCTTTTGCTTCCCTACCTGTGATATATGGAAATATGCAGTTCATATCTGGTGCCCTTATGTGTCTATACTATAGGATGTTTGATTTCGGTTGTGGAACCAAATACAGAAAGGAAGGTTCTAGAAGTCACTTTGACCATTACACTTTGGAGATAAAATGAACTTTTATCTTCTCTTTCTCACTCCTCTCATTTATATTGATGTTTTGGTCGTTCGAGTTAAAAAGTGATGGCTTTTGGATTTAATCTTAGGAAGTTTGGTTAACATGTTTGAGTGCAAATGCAACAAATTACAGCATCACGGGATTATAATGTGAAGATAGGTAACGTACGTTATTAGCTATACTAGTAGCTAGCTATAAATAGAATGAAAACTTTAAAAAAAAAGATCCGTGTGTGTTTAAACATAAAAACATAAAAACTGGTTTATTTATTTACTTTTACCCCCCCCATCTTGATGTGCATATTATACATGGATATGCTATATTTTAATTATCTTACAGGTATTTTTAGTTATACTATCTTTTCAAATTAATTATGAATTATTAATATGTGTTTCATTTATGAAGGTAGTACTGTTGATCTATTGGGCCTGAGTTTTTTTCCTAGATAAAGGTGATAGATATTCTCCAAGCTATCTATATCATATCTCCCTAGTCCACTCTGTTTTCAGTGACATATATTGCTTTCTAGATGGTTGGTCGAAATTAGAAATACCGTTTCAAGGTTGTGGAATCTTTCCTCTGCGCAAAATGAATTGGCCTCTTCCAGAATCAGCATGTGACTTGATCTCATGAGTGATAAGTTTGAAATGAATCGATAGCCTTTTATAACAGTTACGAACAAATGATTAAACAGGCAGTGTGGACAGACATGCTTGACACTTTCTGACTGCTTCTTCTCTTGTGGAAAGGTTAATCATGAATGAAATAGAGCATCTGATACTGTCACATAAATAGCAGATCAGTGGAGCAGAATAGAAAGTCAGTAAATTGACCCAGATAAACAAAATGATCAAGATAGCATTTCTTTTCAGTATGGGGGAGAGAGAGTAGATTATTCATTAAAATTAGCCATCTGAGGGGGAAAAATGGATCTTTCACTTCTCACATCAAATAAATTCCAGTTGGGTCCGGGATATAAAATTTAAAATGAAGGCATTAAAGTATTATAAGAAAACATGGGGGATATTTAATACACTCTTTAGTATATAACTAATGATAATTAATTTCAAAGAATACATCCAACAGGAAGTACCAAACCTGGAATGGAAATAAAATGTACATAGCATGTCCACGTATAATGTAGGGTAGGGAAGAAAGATAAACTTTGTAGTTACTCTTTTTTCCTTCTCTCTCTCCCTCCCTCCCTCCCTCCCTTCCTTCCTTCCTTCTTTCTAGATCTACAGTACCTGGTCTTCCTAGATGGTCTCCCATCTAAGTACTAACCAGGCCAGACCCTGCTTAGCTTCCGAGATCAGACGAGGTTGGGCATGTTCAGGGTGGCATGGCCGTAGACTCCTTTATTTTTATATTTAAATATACAGACATTTTTACATAGGATGTAAAAGTCATCAAAGGAATAAATTGACTACTTTGTTTTAATGTGCAGAGAAAATCACATAAAAGCAAAAGACAAATGCCAAATTGATAAAAATATTTGCAGCAGGTATAACAAAAGAATATACTTTTTCCTTCGTTATTATTACTATTGTTATTATTTTTAATACGGAATGCTTCACAAATTTGCGTGTCATGGGGCCATGCTTATCTTCTCTGTATCATTCCAATTCTAGTTTATTTTAAAGAGGGTCATAATTTAAAGAGGGTCTACCAATGGAAAAAAATCACCAGCCAATAGAAAGACATAATTCTCAGGAAGGAAAATTTAGATGACTTTTAAACAAAACAAGTCAGCCTTATTCATAATAATAAAACTAAAATAGGATCAAAATCAAATACTATTTTAACCTAAAATTTGTCAGAAATAAAATTTGATAACACTGAGTTGGTAAAGCTATGTGGAAATAGACATTTTCATACATTTCTGAAAGGGAAGTTGGTACAACCCGTGTGTGTGAAGACATATGTGTAATCATTGCAGTATTATTTGTGGTCATAGAAGGTTTTACTATTAAAAGTGTTTGTAATACCAAAAGCTTTCCATTACTAAGGGACTCAATAATTAAACTGCTATAGCCATACTATGTAGCTAACAAAGTAAATATTGAGGCAAACTACATATTCAGGTATGGAAAGACATCTAAGACAGATATAGTATTCAGTGAGGAAAAGGCAGTGTATAAACTGATAGAGTATTCAACCATGTGTGTAAGGAAAAAAAGGATATTTATTCAAATATTATATGTATGTCTAGAATATTTCTGGAAAGTTATATATGAACTGACACCAGTAGCTGTCACTAGAGAAAGGAATGGGATAGGTGTGATTGGGGATGAGATGAGACTTAGTTTTCACTATATACTCTTGTCTCATGAATTTATATCAGATCCTTCCATCAAACATACATTCATTCCATTCATTCATTCATTCATTCACCTAGAAATGTTTATTGAACTCTGCTGTGTCCCAAGCACTGTGCTAGGTGCTAGAGCTGTGACAGTGAATGAGATAACAAATCCCCTGTCCCTGTAGAGTTTAACATTCTGAGAGTGAGCAGGCCAGGGACAAATAATAATTACATACACAAGTAAACATAAATATGCAATATATCATATTGAGATAAGTACAGGGATACCTCCTTTTATTGTTCTTTGCTTTATTGAACTTCACAGATGTTGCATTTTTTACAAATCAAAGGCAAGACTCTCCACCAGCAAAATATTAACGATGCACTTTATTGCGATACTCACTTTATTGCGGTGATTTGGAACTGAACTCATAACATCTATGAGGTCTGCCTGTACTATGGTGAAAAATCATAGTAAGTTAGGAAGTGCTGATGATATAGGTTGGTCAAGAATCTCTGATGCAGTGACGACTGAGCAGAGACTTGAAGGAAGCTGGGGAATTAGACACGTAGATCTCTGGGGGAAGAAAGTTACAGGCAGGGGAAACTATAAGAACAAAGGCTTTGAGGCAGAAATCTGCTTGGCATGTTTAAGGAACAGCAAAGAAGTCTCTGTGAATGTTGTGAAATGGAGTGGAGGGAGATTGACAGGTCATGAGGTCAGAGTGGAGAGTGCTACAGGTGACAAAGGGCTCTGTAAACCATCACGAGGACTTATGCTGACAGATGCAAAGTCAAGAGAGTTTTGAAGAGAATTGTTCTACATAGCAGGATTATTCTGCTGTGTGGGGGATAGAACAGTGCTGTTCACTAGCATAATATGAACCACTTACATACTTTAAAATTTTCTAATAGCCACATTTAGAAAGGTAAAAAGAAACATAAAATTAATTTTAATAATAGATTTTATTTAACCAAATATATCTAAAACATCATTCAACATGTAATCAATATGAATTAATATGAATTATTAATCAATATGAATTATTAATGAGACATTGTTCATGTTTTTGGGTACTTAGCATTCAAAATCTGATGTTATTTTACACTGAGAGCACATCTCAATTAAATGTTAAATTTTCAACAGTTGAGGTGAAATGTTGGAATATAGTACTACCGAAACAATAAAGCTGCATCTAATGGGAAAATACTTTATACTGCTTCAGTTTTTAAATTTAAATTAAGATTAAATAAATTTAAAATTCAGGCTCTCAGTTGCACTAACCACATTTCAAGTGCTTAATAGCCACATGTGTCTACTGACTCCAAATTGGACAGCATGGCGACAGAGTTGGGGGAGGGGCAGTGCAGAAGCGGGTTGGTAAATCAGGAAGATATTGCAGTTATTTAATCAAGAGATGGTGACTTGGACCAGAGTGATAGCAGTCGAGTGGAGTGGGTGACAGTGGTTCTATTGAGGATATATTTTGAAGATAGAGCCAACAGGATTTATTAATGGATTGAATGTAAGATATAAGAGAAAGGGAGAAGTCAGCAGTGATCTTTTTTGGTCTGAACAGTTGAAGAATGGAGTTGACATTTACTGAAATGAAAAAGGAGAGAAGGAGGTTTTTGGGTAGAATGGGGAGCAGTCAGGAGTTAGATTTTGGCATGCTAAGTTTGAGATACCTATGAAACATCAAAATGGAGTTAATGAGAAATGACAGCTGGATACATCTAACGTTCAGGAGAAAGGTTTAATCTGGAGAAATGTACATAGTGGAAACCATCAGATCACCTAGTGAGGAAGAGTCGACAGGCAAGAATTGGAGGGCCAAACTAAAGAGCTCCTGAATATTTTTAGCAAGGAGGAGCCAGCAATCAAGACTGAGAAGAAGCCAGTGTGTTAGGAGAACCAATAAAGAATAGTGGTTTGGATGTCAAGTGAAGAGTGTTTCAAAAGAAAGTGTGTTTTTTTGTTTTTTTTTTTTTAATGTCAAATATGGCTGATAGGTTAAAGTAAGTCGAAAGCCAAGAATTGACCATTGGATTTAACAACATGGAGATGATTTTGAGAAGAGCTATTTCAGTGAAGCTGTGGGGAAGAAATGGGAGTGGGTTAAAAAAAAAAATGGAAAAGTGGAGACAGCAAATGTTGACAGATTTTGTGTTTTGCTGTAGAAGGCAATAGAAATGATGAGTGGGTAGCCAGAGAGCTGTGCATAGTTAAGAAAAATTATTGGGTTTTGTGTTGGCTTTTTAGATGAAAGAAATAATGCATGTGTATCGCTGACGAGAATGAGCTGGCAGAGAGGGAAAGATTGTGGTGATACAGGAGACTTAGAAGATACAGTAGCTGGAAGGCTGTAATTTAGACAAATACATGAATCGCCTGTTTAAAAAATAAACTTAAAAAAAAAATAGCCCCAATTGAGGTAACAGAAGAGGGAAAGCAAGAGCATCATATAATCTATAATTAGTCTCTTACTAATAAATATAAAATTGTCTGGGTCACTTCCCATTATTTTTTTATTAAGGTATAATTTACGTGAAATAGAATTACGTTTGACAAACACATACACCACCACAATCTCGGTCCTTTTTTAAGCTTTTATTTAGGGCAGTAGGTTAGCTTGTCCTGTGAAGTTGGACCCTGTATATATGGGATATACCACTACTTCTGCTTTGACATATTTATCAACCCATAAAATAGGCATGTTCTTTCTTGCAGTTGTTTACTAATTTGGTTCTTCTAGGAGGATGTAATACAAGCTTGGGTTAAGAAGGTTTTTCCAAAAGCTAATTCAGGCAAAAACACAATTTTTTTCCCCAGAAAGTCAGCGCTGTGAAAAAAATAACATACTGGCATCATGTAGACAAATTATAATTATTTGACTGAATTTTTTCATTTTAATTGCACATATTGAAGGTGATTAACTAGAACTGGAACCCCCTAAAGAATTATGAGTGAAAGCGATCTTTGGTGTCTAGACAGTTATAATGGAAAACAGAAAGATTCCATTTACTCAAGAAATTGAAATAAAAAATTTGAGCCAAAATTTTGGGCCTGTGTCAAGATTTGGCATAAGGTTTTAGCTGTTTTTCTTAGCCACTTTCCTGGGTGATTAATCTCATTTACTTAATTCAGGGAATTGTGAGAACCAAAATCCAGGCTTATCTTAAAATTTTTGTTTTTAGTAAATGCATCAAGTGCCAAGAATTGGCTTCTGGACAGTGTCAGGCCCCTGTTGCCAAGAGGGTAGGAATTAAGGCCAGGTACTTATGAAAAATTGTTTTGACTTAGTTTGGTTTACTTCTCTTAACTTGACTGAAATTTCAGGAAACTGGATGTTTATAACCTGTTTAAATAGGTCCTTTTAAGTAAAAAAAAAAAAAT